GCTTATCCTGTAATCCTGAAGCACTTGTTACTGAAAAGCAGGAATTCCTCAATCAATTAAAATGTATAATTGATAAGTGGCAATAATAAGGGTTGTTAATCCTCGGAGCCCAAGTTCACAGCAAAATGTGGACTTGGGGGCTCCACTAGGTATTGGTCTACTGCCTGACCCCACCTAGGTGTCTGCTAATTAATTAGTAAATAGACAAAGGCTACAAACACACTAAGCTGTGATGGCCCTTGACCTCTCATGCCCTCCAGCTAAACACCTACCCACACAGAGTTACTATGACCTTTGGCCCCCCAGGCCCTCCAGTCACACAACCATACACTGCAACTTACTCACTCACACAAGAGACACAAGCAGGGACAGAGACCCAGATCTCTCCAGATCTGTCCCTTTTATACCTGGACAGGCACCAATCAAAGCCACAGATGCACATGACACTTGCCTGTGCACTCAGCCTTCTCTGCTGCACACAGCCCTTTACCTGTCTCTTTAGGAGCATTTTTTACATGTGCTGTGGGACATGGCACCAGGTACTTTAATTAGCAAGCTGTGCTAATTAAAAGTGTCCATGCATCACATGTATCAATGTCCCCACATGTCCCCCATCCTGAAAAAATGGTGGTGGGGCACTTTGAACTAAAGCTCATCAAATATGTTTTATTTCAAAGCACCTTACCACCTTTTTTTCAGTGCAGAGATGTGCTGGAACACTGATACACATGATGTGGGACACTGCCAGAATGCATCAATTTACGTGCTCCAGCAAGCTCAATTAATCAAGTCTGTGTCAACACACTGGATTTCCAGTGTGTTGGAGTAGGCTCTGCACATGTGTATAGCAGCCTAAAGGTATCAATCTGGAGTGTCTTAAAACACCTCAGAGACTTCCTGTCAAAACTATTGCTTCAACTGAGCATGCCTACAGAACAGAACTGGGTCCCTGGTTCAAACATTCAAACACAAGCATTGTATCTATTACATTATTTTCATATCTAGTTCATTAAATCCTTCTATTTTAAAATGAATCTAAAGCCTCTGTAGGATTCAGGGGCCTTTCCACCAAATTTGGTATGTAATATAATTAGCTAGTTTTCAGCAGGAAGAAAATTTCATAGATTTCATAGATATTAGGGCTGGAAGGGACCTCAGAAGATCATTGAGTTCAACCCCCTGCCCCAGAGGCAGGAAGTCAGCTGCGGTCACAGGATCCCAGCAAGATAAGCATCCAATTTACTCTTAAAGGAACCCAGAATAGGTGCTTGCACCACCTCTGGAGGGAGTCTGTTCCTTGGGGGCTTGTACAGTAAAGAAGTTCTTCCTTATGTCCAGCCTGAAACAGTCTTGGAGAAATTTGTGACCGTTTGACCTTGTCATCCTATGGGGCGCTCTGGGATGGCAGACCAACTTAAAAAATAAAAGATGTGGCACTGACCTTCCTAAAAATCAAACTAGCAAAGCAAACTAGCAATGTTTGCTGATGATACCAAGCTATGGGGGAACATGGCCACGCTCAAAGCCAGGTTGCTAATACAGCTCGAAAGGTGGGCAGACCTCAACCTGATTTCGTTTCACATGGAGAAATGTAAAGTGCTCCATCTGGGGAGAAATAATCCACAACACACTTACAGGCTCGGCAGTGCTATGCTACACTTGCTAGCACCACATCTGAACAAGACCTAGGTGTTGTGATAGACAACAAAATGAACATGAGCCGCCAATGCGATGCTGTAGCTGGCAGAGCCAATCAAACACTGACATGCATCTACCGAGGCTTCTCAAGCAAGGCTAAGGATGTCATCTTCCCTCTCTACTCTGCCTTGGTGAGACTGCAGCTGGAGTAGTGTCCAGTTCTGGGTGCTGCACTTCAGGAAGGATGTGAACAAGCTCGAGAGAGTCCAAAGAAGGACCATGTGCATGATTAGAGGCCTAGAGACTAGGTCATACAAGGAGAGGCTGAAAAATTTGGGACTGTTCAGCCTGGAGAAGACTCACAGGGGACTTGGTGGCAGCCTATAAGTATATCGGGGCGTACATCAAGGCCTAGGGGAGCTTCTGTTCACCAAGACCACCCCTCCCCGCCCTGCCAAGGGGAAGACAAGAAATAATGGGCATAAGCTAATTGAGGATCGCTTCAGGCTAGACATAAGGAAAAACTTCTTTACAAGTTGAGTACCGAGGGTTTGGAACAGGCTCCCCTCAAAGGTGGTATAGTCATCCGCCCTGGTGATCTTCAAAAAGCATCTTGGTACCCATTTTGCTGGGGTCATCTGATCCTAGTGGTCTTCCCTGCCCAAGTGCAGGGGGCCTGGACCCAATGATCTATAAGGTCCCTTCCAGCCCCTAACAACTATGAAACTATGAAAATATGGAAGGAACCATTCTCCAGGACTTCGAAATAGAATGGAAAGAGCTAGAATTGTTAGTGAGATTCTTAGTAGCCTCAAGGAGAACTCATGGAGATTTGTTTTATAGTAACTTAACTTGTATATATATTAGTCCTCACATTCATTTATGTAAATAAAAACAAAGATAAACCACACCTGTTATCTACTAGACACCAGTAAGAGTCTGTTGTCTCTTAGCTTGAAAACAGTGTTTGATTGTTCATGAATATGATTTTAAAAACCACATCTATCACCACATAGAAATAGAAATAGAGTGGTGACAACTTTCATTTTATCATTAGATATTTGCTGGCACAAGCTACTTTATCTCAGTAAATAAGATGATACAACTAGGTTGCTCAAAATAGGTCTTAAAGTACTTTGTCCCAGTGTAAAATGTGGCCCTTTTATATTCTTCCATAAATATTAGCACTGTTAATTACCATATTGCTTTTGATGGTTGTCTCTTCTTTCGCACATCACCTAAGCAACATGCCCAAATAATTGTGATATATTCTCTGCAAATTTAGTTCATGAAAAACATTATTTTTACATACAGAAGGAAGGCAACCTCATTCAGTTTACTCAGCCTTTATCATTTGCATAGCTTGCTGTGTTCATTAAGGCTTAAGTGTGTGCAGGAATACACCAGATCAGTTCCAGTGGTCATCAGAGATTTTTCTTACACCTTTACCATCTGTAAAATGTCAAAAATATCTTTAGTTAGTTACATACATCTGGATCAGATTTCTCATCCCCTTATTCACTATAGTTCAAAATAAGTGATGTACAAAGGGAATATGCAGAGATACTATGCAGAGCTCGCTGGGGACAAGGAGGGGTAGGATCATAGAAAAGTTGGACTGCAAGGGCTCCTACAAGATCATTTAGTCCTGCTTCCCATTCAAGGCAGTATCCTCCCTGACTAAACTATCCTGGACAGGCTTCTGTCCAACCTGCTCTTGAAAATGTCCAGGGCTGGAAATTCCATAGCTTCTCTAGGTAGCCTGTTCCAAAGCTTGACCATCTTCATAGTTAGAAATTTCCTCCTAACCTCCAACCTAAATTTCCTCTGTTGCACCTTAAAACCATTCCACCTAGTCCTGTCCCCTATGGGCACAGAAAAAATCTAATCTCCAGCTTCTTTATAATTGCCCTTCAGATATTTGAAAACAGTTTTCATGATCCCCCCATCCTTCTTTTCTCCCAATTAAATAGCCCTAGCTCTTTTAGCCTTCCCTCATAAGGCATGTTTTCCAGGCCTCTAATAATTTTTGTTGCCCTGTACTGGATTCTTTCCAATCTGTCCACATCTTTCTTGAAGTATGGGACCCCAAACTGGACACAGTCCTCCAAATGAGGCCTCACCAGTGCTGAACAGAGTAGAAGAATCATTTCCCTTGATTTGCAAATAAGACTCCGGTTGATACAAACCGGCAAACTGCTGGCATTTTTTTCCCAATAAGTGCACATTATTAGTCATATTCATGTTATGGTCCACTGTACCCCCAGCCCCCCCCCCCCCCCCCCCCCCCGATCCTTTTCTGCAGAACTACAGGCTAGACACAACAGTCATTTCCCAGTATGTATTTGCACATGCAAGTATTCCATCTCAAATGCAGGACATTGCACTTGTCCTTTCTGAATCTCATTTGGTTGTTTGCAGACTACTTTTCCAGCCTGTCCAGATCATTTTGGATCCTGCCCTACCTTTCAAATGCATGGAATTCCTCCCAACTTGGTATCATCCTCAAATTTGTTAAAAATGCACTCAATCACAATATCCACATCATTAATGAATATGTTGAACAATAGTAGACCCAGGACAGACCCCCAGGGAAACCCACTTGATACCTCCTCCATCTAGACATTGAGTCATTGAGGATTACTCATTGAGCAAGATGATCTGACCAGCTATGCATCTATCTTAGAGTACCTTCATCTAGTTTGTATTTCCTTAGCTTATTAATGAAAATGTTGTGGGAGACAGTATCAAAAGCCTTGTGAATATCAAGCTATATCACATCCACTGCTCTCCCTCCATTCACAGAGCCTGTCACCTTATCATCAAAGGAATCAATGCTGGCTGTTCCTGATCACTTTGTGCTCCTTTAGGTGCTTCACAATTGATTCCTTGAGGATCTGCTCCATGATCTTTCAGGTATTGAGGTCAAGACTGACTGGTTTGTAACTCCCCAGATGCTGCTTCTTCCCTTCCTTAAAGATGGACAGTATCATTTGCCCATTCCCAATCATCTGGGATCTTACCCAGCCTCCATGACTTCTCAAGGAGGCTAGCCATCCACTCAGAAATTACCTCAGCCAATACCTTCTTCAATAACCTAGGATATTTAATCCAATTTGAACTCATGTAAATGGTAATAGCAATGTGCAGAGGTCATATCTACCCAAGTTGTATTATGAAAAAAAATCAAGTCAAATAGGTGTATTATAATAGGTTTGTTATAAAAAAGGAATTGTTTACATATCATGCATTCCAGCTAAATCCATTTATTTCAAATACTTTCTTTTTCATACATTACATGAAGAATTTGTTAAGTACAAAATGCTAGTTCAAGTAATTAAGTGAAAACTAAAAGTTTGGCTGCTTTTGTTTTATAGAAATCCTTCTTGTAGATAGAGATCTCAGCCTTTGAAGTAGGCTCCAGGGCCATGCTGGTTTGGACTTGTGCAAAGTAAAGCACTATGATACAGCCCATTCCTTCCTTATGTCAGTTCATTAAAAGAAAATCAGCAGTGGTAACACAGTTCTTTTGAGTCCACAGTGTATTGTTTGTACTGCTGACGTGTTAAATAAAGCTGAGTTGCTGGTGAGGTATTTCTGTTGGAAAAAGGGCAAGTCCTCCCTTGAAGCTCTTCTATCTCTAGCAGGGAGGGGTCAATCCTTTCAAATGAAAAAAAAGAATTCCCTTTTAAGATTTCTTCATAACACTGATGCACATGCAAAGGGAAAAACATAAACTTGGGTTTCAGAAGCTTGTATGAGAATGATACAAAATGCCACAGTACCTCTGTGGTAAACACTAATAATAATACTTTGCATGTTTAAGCTTTGAACTGCTTCATAGCCATGAGTTAATGAATCCTCAAACTGCTGCTAAGAGTGACGGAGATTTTTGACTTCTAAACAGACCAGACATTCAAAACTTCTCTAAATAGCTCAGATATCAGTTTGCCATGGTATTTTCATTGTTGTTATTCTGAAATTAAATGAGCCCTAACATGTTACTCTACCAGAAGTCAGTACATATGAAAATGAGGCCTATATAAGGCCCCAGTTATGTTAATGAATAATGTTGGAAATCACCTGTTCAATGGAGAATTTGTACAAAAAATCTACACAAGCAGAAGGTGATACAAATGCATATATGTTTTACTTGGACGTGCTCTATGTGACATTCTCAGTTTTGAAATTCATTTACCTAAAATCTAGTACCATACACATTTGCCATATATTTGGTAAAGTTGTTATACCATGCCACACCAACTGATACAGAAATATTACTATAAACTGTTATGTTGAATGATATAGAAAAATGAATTTTGGGAGTTGATAACTCTCTGTTATAGGAAAAATAAATTATTTTGGAAACCTGGCTCCCTGAGGAAAAACATTTATAACCTCCCAAGAGCTGGTTCAATAGTTTAGTCCTAACAGATCAAAAAACTAAATCACTCTAGGTTGCAATGCAGAGGATTTAAATGGAGGATTTAAAAAGTGTGTAGATACTGTCACAATTTCCTTTTCTTCCTTGTCATCCTTCTTCACTGTTTCCTTTCAGTAAACTCCAAATCCCAAAGTGTATATACATCAAGAAAGTAAGACAAGCCTGTCCCTGACAGCATAGCCATCAGATTTACTAACCAGGGGGCATTGAGTCTTGAACATACCATATTTTTTTCATATACCACTTGCCCCCAAGTAAGAGCCACACCTTGTTTTTGGAAGGCAGAATATAGAAAAAAAAAATCCAGTCCTGACCTAGAACTGACTTTTTCATAGAGAAGCAGATGGAAGAAGAAGCAAGCTTCTTTCTGGGACAGCAGAAACGGCAAAGTCCAATGTTAACCCTTTCCCGGCTCCTCTCAAATTGGCAATAGTTTTCGGCTGAGCAGAGAAATGAGCAGTCAACAGTTTTTGACTGTTCATCTGTCTGCTCAGCCAAAAACTGTTGCCAATTTGAAAGCGTCTGGGAAATGGTCACACTGGACTCTGCCCTCCCAACTTGTTGGAAGTCTTCTTGCAGCACAACATCGCTATGCTTCTATTCTAGCAAAAAAAGAAAAAAAATTCAGCTTCCTCACTAAAGACAAGCATCCAAATTTTGGGGACTGACTTTTGCGAGAAGGGTGCATGTGTTATGCGAGTAAAAACACTATTTAAATCAAGATAGTCTGGCCTAACTTGTTCTCTGTCATGTTCATCCTAAATTTGCTTCCTTCTTTATGACAGGTAAGAGATAAGTTCAGGGGATATCGTGAAAAGGATAATTTGGTTCCATTCTCTACAAGTAGAGCCACCCTTAAATATGTAAGTAAATAGGGAAGGTCCATTTTCAAAGATGATGAACAAGAGCAGCAAATAGAGGCCTATTATAATACAACAGTGATCTTAAACACCCTTTGGAAGTAGAGATGGAAGAAAAACTGATTTTCAGTCATTTTAATACAAAAAAATGCTTGTGAATTTGTCTCACCATTTCCTTATTATCTATACTTAACTTTCAGTATCTTTATGGTTTAGCAACATGACAAATTTTAGTGCAAGAATGGACTGTTCAGCCTAGGACTGCATTAGAAAAGAAACAAGCTAGTAACATTTCATCACAGGATTTTGTCAATCCTGAGTCCTAGACTTACCACTGTTAAACCTGCTACGTAGGGAACACTGCGTGAGTAACCGGGTGTTGCCAAAGCAATTGCCATCACTTCTGTGCTGGATACCCACATGAGCAATCAATAATTTAGTGACAACAGCAGACTGGAGAGAATGGCAGGCAGGGCCTTGAGTCTCTGATATCTCAGGAATGTTTAAGTACCACCAGGCTATATACCTGGTCTCCAATCTGATAGAGAAAGAACATTTTTAAATCTGTAAAATTGTCATAGGGCAGAAAAATGCTTTCCACCCAATCCCATCAGGTTAATGTGCAAACAGTCATTTTCAGAACAGGCCTGTGTTTGCAATTCATTCACACTTTGACCAAAACCTTGGTTTCTTAAGTAGTAATTCACACTGTAGAAGCCCTTTTCAGACACTACCTCATAAGACCCCAAAGGACTAATATTAATCTTCCCTTGCCTCTGCTGCCTTTACTTTTTCTTATACCATCTAGCTCTCTCAATGGAATAAAAATCAGACAAGGCATGATCCATGGTCACTGCCTGAGATGGTGCTAAAATGGAGCTGGGGGCGCCTCATCTTGCCATCCCCTGCTCCAGTTCCAACGGCAGCAGGGAATGACAGAAGTGGTAGTATTGCATGGTGGATGAGTGGCTGGAGGTTTGCTTGCTCCAGAAGAGAGACATCAGCCTTTTGCCACCAAAAAAGCAGTGGTTTCTTGGTTACTTGACATAAATCTGTGGAAAAGAAGAGGGTAATATCTCTCCCTCCCCCCACCATGCAGCCACGAACATCTGGCCAATCATCCACCATGTGCCACCATTACTTCTCTGACCTTCCTGGGGCCAGAGCCAGAGAAAGGAAGGTGCAGGGTGCCAGGAGGATACAGTGTTGCCTAGGACACAGTACTGCCCAGCTATACTGCTGAGCCCCCTCCCTGACTCACTCACTCTCCACACTTCAGGGCTGCATCCCTGCAGCCTTGTATCCATAATTCCAAACTAATGCTCTGAAACACTCTTGTTCTAGCTGACTGCCCCCTACCCCCACCCCAGATGCTACTGTACTCCAAATCCACCTTATTACATCCACCATCTGATGATCAGTCGCTCAGCAAGAATCTCAGATGTGGTTCTATTTCTTACAGATTAATTCATTCAAGAATAATGGAATAAGAAATTGAGAAAACTGCCCCAGGTTCCTAATACACATATCTGGTTTCCCTATGTCATTGGAGCTACTCGATCTTTAATGCATATTCTTCAATCGTTGTGGCATTTCCATTGATTCAAGTTAAACATTGAGCTGATAATTAATTCACCAATCCTCCTCCTCCTCTAGACAAAGCTGGTGGTTTCTTAATATGAAAACAGACATTTCCAGCTTGGCCTTTTTAATGCCTTTAAGCTCAAGAGTTTCAGGGAGTTGAAGCATCTTTGCATAAGCATACAAAATCCAGGCCTTACAACAAACTTCTGAACCTTTCAAGAATTATCCATTAAAATTAAAAATCTACCCCATCACCTGTAATGGCTCAGCAAGACACAATCTGTTGTCATAGTGTATTGCTTAACTGCCTCATTTTTCTTTTCCTGGAAAATACCTTGAACATTGTAATAGCTAGAATTATAATAACAAAGTGATATTCCATCCTCGGGCATGAAACATTACCAAAATTAGCACAAAGCAGCAGCCTCATGTCCAGGAGTTGAGTGGATCAGGAGACTGAGCCACTTCTCAGCCTTAAATATGGTCTTTCCAAATCAGGAAGGAGTCACATAGTTTACTACTCATAAATCGTCTTCCTTAAGGATGAATAGATGTGTTGGATAAATAGATATTCTATACGTAGCTAGGGCTATGAACCTACCTACCTTTCATTTAACCATATAAATATGTAGGTGTTGTAGGATCTTATATAAAGGAATCAAATAAATCACTGCTGTGTGTGAGGTGTTGGGGTTTCTGGGGGGGAGGGGTTGTAACTGAGGGCACACATTCCCCTTTCAATATTCAATGATAAGGCCCAGTGCTACAAATAAGATATGTCTCTATTTTATATAACATCTGTCACACAAGCTCTATCCCAAATTTTTTGCTGAATTAATACAAGCAAAGAGAGAGTATATACTCTTAGAGAATCAGGAATGTACTGTAGGACAGAGAGGTTTGTTCAACAGGGATTGAGAAGTGTCAATTTAGAAGAATAAAGGGTGCAAGAATCAACTAAGAAAATGATGGTAGATATCACTTGAGGGATCTTTGAAGTGCTTAAGTGATGACCTGGCAGCAAGCCCTGCTTAGGAAGGAGGGTTACTTAGGTGGTGACCTGACCACTAGCCCTGATCAAAGGAAGAAGCTAATTCTCCAGGGTTAAGTAAGAGCTTCTATTAAGTGCTTGAGCCTATTTGGAATCATTGTCCTATTTATAAAAAGATAAGGAGGGTTGAAGAAATGGCCTTAGAGGTGGTTTTGGCTGCCAGGTAAGCAGGCAGAACAGTGCACTTCCTTTAGTCATGCTTCACCAGGCTGATCCTCAGAAGGGATTTGCTTCCGCAGATATTGGCCATCCGCCAAGCCTGTGGCCTTGTTGCCAGAGTGCATTTCATCCTGTTGTAGGACAGGGAGGGAGGAAGGCTGAAGAACGCTTTAAATGCTTTACTACAATCTTACATTGGTAAAGCAGGCAAGAACAGACCAGCAAAAGCACAATATCAATAACCGTGAGAGTTTAGTGAGAGTTTAACTCAGTGGCATACCTTACTTGAGTAAAATACCATAAGACCAGCCTTGACTTACTCCACACTTTCCAGTGTAAGAACAAAAGAGAGCGAGACAGAGAAATTCTGAGAGAACTTTTTTCCCTTTCCCCAGAAAAAGGCAAGGGGTTTGATTTGAAACTAAGAAAAAAGGAAGAAGAAATGCAAACTTAGGGCCTTAGATACCTTTGGAGAAGGGACTTGATTTGCAGAAAATCTAAACAGTCTCAGCTTCTGCAGAAATTTGTGGCCTTGTCTTGGGTGTTTAGCACTTTTGAAAAT